CTACGAAACTTCCATCAGCATGTCCCCATACAGACTTGTGTTCAGCAAAGCTTGTCATCTTCCCGTGGAGCTTGAACACAAGTCATATTGGGCGGTGAAGGAGTTCAACCTCAATCTTGATGAGGTCGGGGTACATAGGAAGCTACAATTGCAAGAACGGGAGGAACTCCGTCTCGATTCCTATGAGAACGCCGATTTGTACAAAAAGAAAATGAAGGAATGACATGACAAGATGATCATAAGGAAGAACTTTAAACTTGATGATAAAGTCTTTTTATTCCAATCACGCCTTCGTTTATTTCCGGGAAACTAAGGTCTCGGTGGACTCAACCATACAAAGTGCTCAAAACATATCCACATGGGGTAGTGAAAATTCAAGACCTGGAGACAAGAGAGGTGTTCAAGGTGAACAGGCAGAGGTTAAAACCCTTCTTTGAGGGCTTTCAAGCCAAAAATAAGGAAGTCATAGACCTTTCTGAACTGGTCTATGAATGAGGAGCAACAAAGGATATCGTCGAGCCACGACGTTAAATAGCGCTTATTGGGAGGCAACCCATGTACAGTATGTTTTCTTGTATCATTTTATTTCAGTTGAGTGTGTGTGTGAGAAAACGTTTTGTCTTTAAAAAAACAAAAACAAAAAACGACCTACCGATCTGAGAAAAATTCAGATTTTGAGTGATTGGGTAAACACCTGATCGGGTGTACACACCAACCCGATCGGGTCCAAGCAAAAAAATGGAAAAATAAGGCTCCAGAGCATGGTACCCGATCAGGTATAAACACCTACCCGGTCGGGTATTAGTGGAAAGACCAATTCTTGGATCGAGTACCTCCTATACTCGACCGATCGAATCAGGTGTTTTGAAAAAGCCAAAAATTACACATACCCGGTCGAGTAAGCCTCAGTACCCGGGTCGGGTATATTTTGAAAAAAATGATTTAATTCATACGATGCAAATCACCCGATCGCGTATGCGCTTTATTCGACCGGGTACATAAAACCCAAGCAACTTTTGAAAAACGACGTCATACCCGATCAGGTATGCACAAAAGAATTTAATTAAAATCATACGGCCCGAATCACCCGATCGAGTACATGTCCAAACTCGATTGGGCATGCCTTCGTTTCAAAAACCAAAATACACATACCCGATCAGGTATGTCGGGGTACCCGATCGGGTACACTACTTTTAAACCCAAATCACACGCCCAAACACATCACTTCATCTTCTCCACTCCCAAATTTTAGAACCCTCTATCCCAAATCCTCCATTTTCGAACCTTCCTTCTCCCATAACTCACTCAATACTCCACCAAATTCCCTCATACCACAACCAAAACACTCCCCTTTACAACCCAACAGCCACCAATCCCAATCTCACCCCTTATTTACCAAAACCTGAAACCCTACCCTATTACCCCCAAATCCGAAATCCAAGCTTCAAAGAGGGAATCAATGGCACCAAAAAGATATAGGGGAGAAAGCTCAACTACTAGGGGACCAATTCAAGGCTACGAAGATGTCTGATTCGGCCCGGGGAAACATTGGGAGCGCTTTGTGGCTCAACTCAAAAGGCAAGTTGTTCCTTCTAGATTTTATGCCATCAAGCTCTTGATACTCTAGGATTATTGAAAAAAATGAGAAAGTTGTTCCATGGATTGCATATGGATTTAATTTTTGATATGCAATACAAAATGAGATATAATATAAAGTAACATTTTCACCTCTAAATGGGATGTATTGATAAATATTAAACATGATAAGCTTTCAATATAAAGACAATTTGCTATTCATCTAAAAGGGTATGTTCGTACGAATAAACACAATGTATTGATTAAGGTAATCTGCACAATTTTAGATTTTTATTGAGCCAACATGATTAATAAGAGTTGATGACTTCTGAGTCCCATTGTTTAGATTAAATTCTCTGTATATCTCTGCATTTGGATGTTTAAGCATCCAAATTATCCTCATTCTATTTTACTTGAAGACTAGACACAAAATTCCATGATAATTTTAATTTAGTAGGGCGTATAAAGTAAGTACGGCCCTTTTTATTGTTTATCCCAATTTGAGACAGATTGTATCTTTAAACAATGTAAGAAGTTGCAGGCATTTGAAGCTTGTTTTGCTACTCATAACTTTAAAAAATTACAACATTCTAGATGAGCGATTTGATAAATGGGAGGATGAGACAATAATAAAAAACGAACGAGAAATTTAAGAGAGTGGAGAAGAGATAGATGGAACTCATTTGGGCACACAAACATGCAATATGTGTGGCGAATTTACGAGATAAAATTACTAATATATTAGTAGGAAATACTTAAATTTAATGTATTATTTTGATGTTTTTGAAGTTATATGGATGTATTTTGTGAACTTATTTGCTAGGTAAATATTTATTGTAGCAAATTTGATGCAATCAGAATATCATTCAGAACAAATAAAGTAAACAAATAATACATGTTCATCATTGGTTACAAAGAACAGAGTACATTGGTAACTTAATGTAATCCAGACAACATATTCAACACTCATAGTAAACAATTTGTTATCCTAGTGTCACCTAATCCAGACAGACGTCTTAATTAATTAATAAAAATAAAAGTAAAAAGTCGCTTACTCTTTATTTTACTATTGTACATATCAACTAGGGATATGAATGACAATTGTGACCGATCCAATGGATACTCACACCGAACCGCTCCAATCAAAACGGGGAAAACCACGTTGACCAGGTAACGATTATGGGGCGGGGAATACCCGTTTTGTTTTTACGGGGAACATGGCGGTTACGGTTTTATACATGCCCGTCCCATTACTCACCCATACCCATTTAATTTTAGTTATATTTTTATTACATTTTCATCTATTATTTGCCCCACAACTACTAAAAGATTAGATTTTTCTCTTTCATTGTGTATATATAGACAATAAATGTACTAAATAGGGGTTATGTCTAAAATATTACTACCTCCGTCCCGTTAAGATTGTTCCATTTTTCCTTTTCAGTTCACCCCACTAAGATTGTCGCATATCAAATTTGGTAAAGTTTGTGTGACTGTAAATCATTCTCAGTTTATTCTTACTTTATCAATTCAATATCAACCACATACACCACTTGTTATTAATTTGTGTGCCACTCTCTCTTATCCCATTACTAATGGGACGAAGGGAGTACTACAAAAGGCTAATTGACAAAAAATGACCTTTTTAAAAATTTTCAGAAATGAGACTAATAAGCTTTAAACTTACTACACCATCCAATATTTCCAGTTACTTTATTTTATAGTTACATGACTTGACACAGTGCCACCATTGTAGTGACTCACGTCGTAGTGACTCCCACCACCAACCGGGGACCACTGCCGGTCGGTGACCATCACCGTCCACAGTGACACCTCCGCACAATGACACTTTCCCAGTGACTCCGGTCACAATTACTCCGTCCACTGACCAACATTGTCCGACTACTGTTGTACCACACTCGCGCCGCTATCGCCATCGGCCACAGTTACTCCGCCCACTGACCAACATTGTCCGACTACTGTAGTACCAAACTAGCGCCGCTATCGCCATCGTCCACAGTTACTCCGCCCAATGACCAAGACTGCCTGGCCGGTGACTACACCCTGCCCAACCAGTGCCGCTGCAAACCACCACCACGCTGAATTGACTCTCCAGCCACCTCCCTGCCACTATCAGCCCCCAACCACTTCCCCAACCCCAACCACCTCCCCAGCCCCGAACCTCTGCCCACCGCCACTGGCGTAACCCTAGCCGCAACCTCCAACTTCCCCCCACCGCAACCTAGCCGCCGAATAACCTCTCCATCGAAGAAGGCGAGAGATGTCAGCGAGATGCTTTAGATCTGGGTCTTCTCCATTGTTGGATACAAAGGAGAAAAGCGGTGATTGCAGAAGCTCGGCAGTGGCGTTGCAGATGCTCGACGGTGACGTCGCATATGCTCGACGACGGCGTTTGCACCTTTCACTTCAAATCAGACAAAATCTGTGAACCCTAGTCGCCAAGCACCGGTCCACCAATGTCGGCTCGCCGTCTCTGTCTGTCACCATAGCCACCAACCCTAGCTGCCTCTGCTAGCTACAGTCACTATCGGTCGCCCTTTCCAACATGAACCCGACAGAATCAATGTTCGATTAACGAGAAGAAGAAAGAATTAATAGAATAAGGAGAAGGGATAAGAACAAGGCCCTCTAATGAATTTGGAGGCCCCTGTTCTAAATGACAAATTGAGCCCACTAAAACAAGAAAAAAATACAATTTTTAACAACGAAATACAATTAAACTTAACAGTTCAATGAAATATAAGTTTTATGACGTCTAAAGTACACAAATTGGAGAATCTAAAAGTTACATACCTTTTGAAATCTATACCTTTTGAAATCTTGAATAGTGCATAACATGTAGAAAAATCAACCTATAACTAATACTACATTCTAAATATTTGGAGGCCCCCTATAAGAGTGGGTCCCGATGCCAAGCACCTATTGCACCTCCTAAAAGACGGCTTTGGATAGGAAGAAAGGATTAGTAGAATAGGGAGATGGAGAAAGTCGTTGTGGAAGGGGGAATGGACAAGGTTGTAGGGAAGATGCGCATGACGGGGGTAATGTAAGGGCACTACAGTCTTTTCAATTAAAATGGATAAGTTTTTTGTCGGTATCAATTCTTGGTCTTGCTTTTGTCGATTCAAAAGTAAATAGTACTATGATCCGTTCTTTAATTCTTGCGTTCTTTAATTCTTGCAACAGTTTGACTTTCACGTTTGGCAATGCATAACTTTGACTGTAATTATGTAAAGGGAAAACAAAATTAGGGTTTGGGTGCGGCAGCTGAAGGCTTTGTCCGCAAGTTTTTTCCGTCCGCAGCAAGGGCCTAGGCGCAGCTGGAATTCTTTCAGCGTTGCGTCTAGTTTTGGCTTGGTGCGGCGATCTGGGTTTGTGTTGTCGTTGTTCCAGGCGGAGGTGCAAGGGACTGCAGGGTTGAAGATGGTGTGGTTGGGCACCTGTGGGAGGCCACCCGAGTTCAGCAATTCCGGAGAGGGCCAAGGTTATGCGACTAGCAAGGCTGCGAGGTATGAAAATCTGCTGCTGGGTTGGATTTTCCTAGCCTTGTTAGGCAATGTGATGGAGGTTAGACCTATTGTTTTTTATCCGGGTGGTACAATGTTGGGATCGTGCTTAGAGTATGGGGCTGATTTGGATTTCAGACGGTTGGGGAGGCGGGTGACGTGGTGGCTATGGTTGATCTGGCACGGAGAGATTCAGCTTCGGATGAGGGAAAAGAAAAATGAAGAGTTCATGCTTCGCCCCCCGCCTGAACCGCCGCCATGGGGAAACCGTGCAGATGGGGCTCACAAGAGTGATTTACTAGCTATTTTTTATCTTTATCAATCCAGTCAGTTTTGTTGTTTCTTAGTTACTCATGTTGTTTTTCTCATTATTTTGAACTCTAGTGGTAGGTTGGTAGTTGTTTTTTTGTGTTTGGTTTGGGATGTTAGTTTTGGTGGAAGCGATAAGGCTTGTTTGGCCGAGGAAAGCTTCGAAGCTCTCACATGGTTCGCGAATAGTCTCGCTCTTTCCGGGGTGGTCTATTCTAAGTCTAGCCAGAGAGTGGGGGGGCCTTTGGGCTATGCGGAGCCTCACGAAGAGGTTTGGCGTTACACGTGGGGTCGAAATTTTAGATGCTTGATGGAGGACATTTGGGTTGATTGTAAGGGGGGAAGTATGTTGAGTCGTTTGGATGATATAATATAATTAGTTTCCTTTCAAAAAAAACTTTGACTGTAATTGTATTTAATTATGTATTAGTAAACATTATAAAAAGTTGATATTTTGGAAATTCACATTGATAAGAATTCAATAACATTTTATACGTAATAATTTGATTATGTATATTAGTAGAAAATCGTGATCAAAGTGAGGTCTGTGAATAGCGCAGAAATCACAATGTTGCAAGAATTAAAGAAGGGAGGAAATATTATTCTTGTCATTCTTCCTGCTAAATATAGTGTATGAATGAAAGTTCATAATAAATTTCAATAATCTTGTTTGATTATTATCAGATTTTTCGTGATTAATTATCTTTCAGATTAAGTATTTTTAGGTTCAAATTAATTTAGATCGTCTTCTTTCTCATTTTGTAGATATACGAATCCTTACATTGGCGTCTGAAATTTAGAGTCGTCTAGGCGATGCCATTTATCGTCTTTAAAATATCATTTTTATATTAAAATATCAACGACAAATTTAAAATTACTCAAACGGGCGAGTACGGTCATACGTAAAACAGATATCTGCCTCGTTGTGGTATATCTACGAAATGAGAAATAAGGAAATTAACTACGGAGTATCAATTTACTCTGTACTAAATAGATAAGGAGTAACGATATACTAAAAAAAACCAGATAAGGAGTATAGCGTAGTTAAGCTCCATGACGGCGGATTTTTATATTTTTGAGGGGATAAGGGTCAGATAGGGCCTCGAACTTAGAAAAAAATGTCAAATAAGGCCATATTTAGGATGCTATGTCCGGTTGACGCCATTTGGGGTGGTTCCCGGTGGAATTTTTTGATGAATTTTTTTGAGAATCTTATTCATTAAGTGTAGTTTACTCATATCAAATTTGAACTAACAATTCAATCGGGAAGGCATTCAAATGAATTCTTGAAGATAACTGCGCTTTTAACTGCACAGTTATCTTCAAGAATTCATTTGAATGCCTTCCCGATTGAAGTTTTGGTTCAAATTTGATATGAGTAAACTAGACTTAATGAATAAGATTCTCAAAAAAATTCATCAAAAAATTCCATCGGGAACCGCCCCAAATGGCGTCGGACGGACAGAGCATCCTAAATATGGCCTTATTTGACATTTTTTTTCAAGTTCGAGGCCCTATCTGACCCTTATCCCTATTTTTGAGGTAAAGCACCACATCCCTGCCTGCATCGATGATTCTTATCTTATTACAAAATTATTACAAAATAAAAAACGGAGTAGTAGCTAAGAGGCATTGAACTACAGCTTCTTTATCCGGGTAATTTCCAGCTCAGTTCACATCAACTGCATCCTTTACTCGCAAAAATCGCTCACCGTACGTCAATATCCTTTTCTCGTAAGGTAGAAAAAGAAAACGACGGACTTTTATTTATTTATTTATTTCCTTACTGTTTTATATTGGGTGAGTGGAGGGGTGTACTAGAAGCATGTGAGATGTTCCTCCCAATTCTTCATTCCTCACTGTCTGAGCTTTCTAGGTACTTTCGAAATCCTTTTTTGCATTTTCTTTCTATCTTTTGAGCTACACTTTTCTTGAATCATAAATTTTATTGCTGTTATTTTGGCTTTCTGGGAACTGCAGTGTTCAAATCCTTTGCTGCTGAGTTTTTCTCTCTCTTTTGCTTTTCTGATTGATCTGGTTTATGCAGATTTGGGTCCCAATCTTGACACACCTTCTTCTCAGTAAATAAATAGCTCTGGAATTTACCTTTTATTAGGAGGAGAAGAAGACTAAGAAAAGGGCATGGCGGGAGGAGCAGCTCCAACACCAAAAGCAGACGAGCCAGTCCCTCATCCACCAAAGGATCAGCTTCCCAATGTTTCTTACTGCATTACTAGTCCTCCACCATGGCGTGAGCCTTCTTGCTTGTGGACTCTATTGGTTTTCTCGATTTAGGGTTTTGATTTATAATATATACATATTCTAAAATTGTCAATTCTATATGGTTTTAGAATTGGGTTCAATTTCGGTCTGTTCTTTTCAATTTGCTATTTTTCCTTTTTTATTTTCATTGTCATGTTTTATTTTTACTTTTGAGAGTCAGCTAACCTTCATATTTATTACTGTGGGGTATTTTAATCACTTGAACTTATTTGGGGTTTATTCCTTCATGCGGAATATGTTGATTAATTTTGGCAATCATGTTATTGATTTTAAAAGGTAAATCACCTAAAATGCATGCTCTACGACTGTCATGCCCTGCTTCATCAAATATATCCTGGATTACAAAGTCACTTTTTAAGTACTACCTCCGTCCCGTTGGAATGTTCCCGGTTTGACCTACACACATATTAAGGAAATGAGAACTTTCCATTGGGACATCCAAAAAAGGAAAGTGGGAACATTCCAACGGGACGGAGGTAGTATTTTCTAGTTATAGCTGTTGGTAGTTTCAGAGAAGAAAAGAAAAAACTAAATCTGTGTTAGGCACACATCTTGTAATATTTCCTTCCTTGATATCTAATGTGTTTCCTTGTACTGCATCACCTTTAAGATAATTTTAATCATCATTATTACTAATATGATTATTTTTTTCTTTATTATTATTATTACAATAATAATGATAATGCAGCGGAGGCCATTCTTCTTGGGTTTCAACACTATCTTGTGATGCTGGGGACGACAGTTATAATTCCCACCATTCTGGTTCCCCAGATGGGAGGTGGAAATGTGAGTCACTGATCCTGCTATTTCTCTGGAAGTGATTACGATTACGTTTGGTAGCCAGAGCTGGCCTATTCTGCTTTGAAGCAGAATAAGTTAGTTTTGATTTAATTATTTGGCTGGCTGAAATAGATGTCACCAAACAATCAAATGTTTTGTTTGTTGCAGGAGGAGAAAGCCAAAGTAATTCAGACATTGCTATTTGTTGCTGGGATCAACACCCTATTACAGACGATCTTTGGGACGAGGTTACCTGCTGTGATTGGAGGGTCATACACCTTTGTTGCCCCCACAATTTCAATCATCCTTGCTGGTCGATGGGACGACCCAGATCCCATATCGGTTTGCTTTCCTTGGAACTTCTTCTGCATCACAATTTGAATATGCATTTTGCTTGCTTATTTAAAAAAACTAATTGGGCCTGAAACCATTTCATTATAACTTCATAATCAATGCAGGTTATTAAATTATCCATTCAAAAGTACTAGGGAGGACTTTTTATTTTAAGAATGTTTGTTTGGTAGCTTTTCTTCTTCTGCGTAGCTTTTGTCTTCGCCTTTCTAGGATAACATGCGACATAGATGTTTTTTTCTGAAGTGCTTTCTCGTTTGAGTGTCTTTGTTTTTGGAAAAAATCCAACATGTGGAGTTGTAGACTACTTGAATCATAAATAAGATGTTTTTACTGGTAAAAGTGATGAACAATAGAAGAGTAGACTTTGAACTATATTTTTACACATCATTCAATGGTTTCAAGTGCTGCCATTTAATGGTTACTAACATTGTATTTTTACAAGAGTAAACTCGCTAGGCGCTAGTCGGGCGGTTGAGGGGCGCCTAGCGCCTAGTCGGCCGACTAGACCGTTTTTTGGCCGACTAAGCCGATTAGTCCTCTACAGTGAGAACCGACTAGGCCGATTAATCGGTCTGACTAGGCCGATTTTTAGAACAGTGGTTACTAAGCATCCGTATAAGGTAAGCAATTATACTAACGGTTGTAAACTTGTAACAACTAATTACAATAATACTATGGCAAAACAAATTGAAGTAATTGACTTAAATAGGAGTAAAACATAGAACTTTTCCCTAAATAGGAGTTCACTCCTAATCTTCCCCAAGTAGGAGTAAACATTAATTTTCTTCCCCTAATACCCCTATTCTAATTAATTAATTGTCCCCCTAGTCCCCTTGGGCAATCAGGGCAGTCCGTTGGTGGCGGGGCAGACTGGCGGTGGTGGAGGTGGCGGAACCAATCGGCGGCGGCGAGCTCCAGCGACCGGCGATGGTGGCAGGCGGTTTTGGGGAAAAACTGGACCTTTTTTTGCCCTGCCAGAGCTTTGGCCACCGGCGATGGCGGCGAGTGCGATCGGAGGACGGCCCTAGTTCTTCATCAGACAAAAAGAAGGATGGAATTCAAGTAGTACGTCATTGTCACAACATAACATGGGTATAGAAATTAAATTGGTACAAAGAGAAGGGACAAAAAGAGTGTTAGGCTAAGAGGGAGTGAAGGGTCATATGCCCAACTTGTGCAATCCCAAAACATTTGTCATGACCAATTACGAGAGAATCAGTGCCAATATAATCTGATGTAATGTGAGATTTTCAGGTTGTTGGTGATGTGATTGTGTGCTCCAGAATCAAGTAGCCAACTATTGTGATTAGTTGTGGTTGTATTCACTTGGGGAGGGTAAGCCTAATAGCCTATTGTCCAAATAGATGTCAACAATTGAGACTTGAGAGCAAGATGATTTGGTTTGCCACAAAATTTACATTCAACAACAATTGCGGAATTCTGATTCCCGCCCTTACTAATATTCCTACTTCCAACATTGCTATTACGGCCGCTAGAATGATTATTCCCACGCCGAGTTGGGTTTCGGATCTGATTCCTGTTCCGATTTTGGGTCTGAATACTAACTCGATTGGGCTGATTTTTATATTGGGCCATTGGTCCAGGTCCCAATATCGACGAAGTATGATATTCTGGTGAAATGTAATTCTGTCTGGCCGCAAGAGCAAGAGCATTGCAGGTCATTCCATTACTGGTAAGAGTGGCATTTGAAGTGACTATGGACAAGGAGTTTAGAGACTCCTCTTGTCGGAAACAGTCTCTAGGTGCGGACTGCTTTAGTACAGGGGTAAGACTGCGTACATCCGACCCCCCCTTACCCCATCGTAGATGGGAGCCTTTGCGGCATTGGGGTAATGATGATGA